TTCAAAATCAGTTGAGAGTTTACAATTTCATCCCATAGGGATGGTACCATAAACTCCTTTTGTTGAAATTTTAATGGGACAACCATTGAGATATTATCTATTTATTTAAACACAATCATGAAATTCTATCCAAAATTAGTAAAGGTATCGCATATGGGTAAAAACATCTGTTTAAAATCAGTACTCAATCGTTTTTCAAGTCGGTCAAAAAACACTTCTTAAACTAGTTCCAGGTTAGTAAAAAATATAAATGGTAAAATTGTAATTTAATTATTGTTCTCAAACCAATGACGTTGTCTTTTAAATCCAATATAGATACTTCCAAAAAAACAACACAACACTAATAAAAAATGACCTTTTCGTTCTATAAAACTAGATTTATTTGTCTAAGGCATTAGTTTGTTTGTCAGTCATCGGTTATATAATTTTGTTTTATTTTTGTATCATTGAGATTAATCAATATAAAGAATGTTTCTCAAAATGAGACTGGACATTGATTCTTTTGATCTAATATGCTTTATAATTAAATCTATGTATATGAAGTATACAAACTCAACCACGTATTCACCTGCGTGTACTTAACTTCTTATTTTTTAATTATTAACATTTTCTTATATAATATGTACCAAAATTTTATCTATACATATAATGAAACTGTAGAGGTCGAATGTCTGTACATAGAAAAAAATGCTAAAAACCAAGTCAGGGGGGTGTAAGTAGAGAAATAGAACAAATCCAGTTTTTTTTTTTCAATTTTTTTGTTTCTCTGTCTTATACAGCTTAGTACACAACAACTTTAAAATTAATTAAATAAACTTTAAAATTTGGGATACTGATACCTTTATATTGCCGGTCAAACAACAGCTTATTTTTTATCCTGGAAAAACGAACGGTTCCCGTGGGATAGATCTGTTTGTGCTTTTATAAGAATATTATTATTATTATTTTTAAGAATATTACAGATCTAACTTTTAGAAAACAAAAAATTGGCAATATAAAAGTAGGCCAGCCCTTCTCTCTCTTGTAGGGTTGAAAATTGGATAACGCTGAAATATGAGTTTCCTGATTGGGTTAAGGCGAAGAGGGTTACACCAGTACCATTTTTAACGGAAGAATCAAACCTATATTCTTTTAAATACTAAACACGCACGCTGCATTCGCTCTGTACTCATCATCTTCACGCCGAAAAATTAACATGAAAGATGAATCAACAATAGCAATTTCTACTCAATTTCTAAGCAACATAACAAGAAAAGAATGTACGTATACAGTATAGATAGCATCACTAACAGTACACTAAATACTACTCCAGGTCATATCTGTGTACTAAATTTCACCAAAACCCGTCCAGCCATTTAAGTGTGAAGGATTGACAAACGTACATACCAATAAGAACTTTCGTATTTATTGTGTGACTGATATATTTTGATAATAATAATAAATATAGAAATATGTTACACTGTTCACGCTGTAATGGTTCTAAATAGATTTAAGCGACAATAGCAGAGCGATGTGCAAAAGTTGTTATGGATGTGCAAAAATTTATATGTCTACTAGCGACTCACCCTCGCCCCGCTCGGATTCGTTCTTAAATACGGTTTTACTGTTAGTATAAATTTTTCAGAGATATTTTCCTGCAGTAAAAAATATCCTATATGTTGTTCTGGATAACCAACTAGCATCATACTAATTTTCATGAAAATCTGTCCAGTCGTTTTCTCGTGATGCGTTCCCAGACAGGCAAAAATTCTAAAAACTATACATAGATTTGTCCTCTGTATAGAAAATAATGAGTTTTGCAAAAAGATTTTCCAAAAAATATTTATTGTGAAGATTCGATTCTGTTAGAATTTTATTATATGTATAAATTATAAAAAAAATATTTAAGAAATTATAAACTATATGGCAACTAAAGGACCATTAGAGAAAAATTTGGCCAATTAAGTTACCTTCTTACAAATTCAACTGTATTTAAAGGTTTAAGGAATAAATTCTTAGTAAATTAAGAAAACAAAGTAGCGATAATGTTTCTAGTATTGAACCAATAAGATTTTTTGACTAGTTTAATTAGGGCATTTTGGTCAACGCTATCAGTTACGTTAATATATGCCTTACGCATTAAACGAGCACTTCCTCGACCGATTAAGGCGTGAACAGACGATCCGGTCCGGGAGCAAGATTACGTATTCGCTAATTGTGACTTTCTCTTGATTCTTGCGATTCTTGAGTTGCAACATTATTTTTTCCCGAGGACGATCACTGATGCAACGCGCGTGTGAAGTTGTAGCTTTAAATATTTCAATAAAACGCACGTTTGCAGTAATTATACGATGCTATCCGATGACAATTGCGTTGGGAATTCTCAAGATGGTAATCATTAACCTTAAGCAAGCAATTTTTATTGCATTGCAACGATCCTTGTTATTACCTTGCGGTATTTAAAAGCTTTATCCTTTATAGTGTAGGAGAATGCGCTTTGTAATACATTCGTCTTTTATTCGTAACAACGAAAACAAAACAAATGAAATAACCTATGAACAATTTATATATAAATAGGCAAAGACAAAAGCTTGCTATATTTTTCCCCTCTATTTGTCAAACGATTTTCTTTTTCTTTTTTACCATCATATGAAATTTCATCAAAATCTGTCCTGTGGTTTTCTCGTGTTGTATTCCTAGGCAAACAGACAGACAGGCAGATAAACAAAAATTCTATAAACTATAGATTCTGTCTCTGTATCGATAATAACGACTATTTCAATAAGATTTTCTAAAAAAAATATTTAATGTACAGATTCAACTCAGAATTTTATTATATGTATAAATGATTGTTCGAATTTATACCACTGGACGAACTCTATGTTACGGTGGTTGTGCTCGCATTTATACACAGTGCAATATTTGCTTTACTAAGGCCCCGTCCTGACCTGACTAAGATTATTATAAACTAAAACAAAAACAAATCCGTCCCTCGGGAACCGTATATGTTTACTTGATAATAAGTAACCTATGTGCTATTCCAGACTATAATCTATCTCTGTGCCAAATTCCATCCAGGACCGTTCAGCCGTTCTGGCGTGAAAGAGTAACAAACATCCATACATACACACAAACTTTCCGGTTTATAATATTTATACAGATTATACAGACTAGAAGAAAAATACTGAACTGTTTCAGATTTGCCTATACATAAATTAGTTCTGTCAATTTAGAGATTAACCACTACAAAAAACAAAACAGACTTAATACAACCATTTAAAAAAGAAATAAATTTTTCTTCTTAAAAATATTAGCACCACTGTATCACACACAGCAAAGGCTTTACGTTACTCTAATTGGCCCAATAAAGGAACATTTAGAAGAATCTGGTATTCTGTACTATAATATACTTTTCTTAATAAACTAAAATAACATCGGGATGCTAACAGCAATTATACTGAGATTCCAATTATTTCTGGTAACTGATAAATGCAACGTTTGATGCTTATATCGGGTTGCTCATGAAAATGTTAGTATTTCATTATAATAATATTTATTTAAAATACTAGCGAGTGGGTGCCTTTATTTGTATTTATAATATTATCAAATACACGTAGCTCCAATTAGAGCTAGCAAAACAAATATTTGAAAAATAAAGCTACAATTACATGCTTATCAGGTTAATACAATACTATTAGTATCTCTAAGAATCAGGCTCTAAAATCCAAGTCGTCCAATACAACGTATTGGGCTTGTCAAATCAAGCCAAATAAGTCCAAACTCAAAGTATTTACTAGTCGTTGAAGAGTATCACTCTCCACCTTCTTTCTGGCTTCACCACAGTCCACAGATTAGCTCAATAATACCAAATTACTGTACTGTCATCTAAAACATAAATGACCATTAAAAGTAGGTAAAAAAGGCTAATTAGATTTATTCACAAACTTGAAATTTTATGTTTTTTTCTAATTTTCTCTAAAACAACAGATAGGTACTATAATGTGTCAACGATACTATATTAAACGTACATATATATGTCAAAGAAAATTTTATGGGACTACCTCCAGAACTACCTTAATAGAATAAATACATATACAATTTAAGCTACCAAAATCGGTATATACATGAAAAAACATACAGATGAAAATAGAACTCTTACTTTTTGGAAATCGGTTTAAAAAAAATAGCGTCATGTAAAGATATACACACACACACACACACACACATATATATATATATATATATATATATATATATATATATATATATATATATATATATATATATGTTTTAGGTTATAGTCATTTTTAGTAAAAAAAACCTAGACCGTAAGTTTGACCGACCTTATAAATTGGTTAAAACCTGTATCTAATGATTAAATTACTAAGACAGGGTCAAGAAGAAAGGACAAATTCTTTTACTACGTTTTAATATTTATTAATTCATATTAACCGTGCCCATATGTACATAAAATTATAATTTTGAATTAAATATGCAATAGCTGATAATATCTAAATTAGTTTCTTCTAATCTTATATTTTGTATGAAATTGGTTCTATCATGCAAACAACTATATTTTTATACATTTACTACTCCTAGCGACTAGGGTTCGTCCCTTCTTACGTTTTAATGTTTAGATTCCTCAGAGATGAGATATTTTCCCGCAGTAAAAATTATCCTATGTGTTAACCCGGATAATCAGCTATCATCATACTTCATCAAAATCCCTCTAGTGGTCTTTCCGTGATGCGGTCACAGACAGACAGACAGACAGACAGACAAACAAACATTCTTAATTTCACCTATAACCATGTTTGCTGTAAAGCATTCGAAACGGGGTTGTCTGGACAAAAATTGCAAAAATTAATAGAATAAAGCTAGTCAATTAGATATTACTATGAGATAATTTATGTAGGTCATGAGTTACTTTTGCTCTAACTTTATGCTAACCAATGTAAATTAGCATTGAACTATTCAAAATAATAAGTAATATTGTTCTCTCATTGCAGATAAACCACAAAATGTCAGTCGAACGGTGTCGGTGCAGTCTTATCGGTAAGTACTTGTCTAAACCTTGATTGGTAAACATACTTACATGCTCGTATCTATAAATCTTTATCTATACAAATAAATAAAATTAAAGTGTCTGTTTGTAGTGACAGAATAGCAGCTTTTTACTGAATGCATATATGAGAGTATATACAGTACCTACTTATAAGAAAAAATGTATTTTTAAACTTTTTATGCCTCTGTATGCGTCTATTTGTTCCGGCTGATCTCAAAAACAGCTAAACCAATTTTGACGAGACCTTCACTGACAGGTAGCTGATGTTATATATATATATATATATATATATATATATATATATATATATATATATATATATATATTCTTTATTGCATATTAACAGAGTAACACAGATAATACAGAGACCAATGTGGGCAAAGGTGGACTTATCTCTAGAAGAGATCTCTTCCAGCCAACCTATGAAAGTGGGAAATAGTGTTATATGACGGGACTTAAAGAGTGCAATTGATTTAAAATAATTATAAGTAATTATACAATTAAATAAGATAAAAAGACACATATAATGATAAATATACAATAATTTACATATTATACATACTATATACACATATACATACATATATACATATACATACATGTTAAAGTATAAATATAATCGTATGCATTTGGAATACATAAAAATAGTGTATCTGATAGTAAAATTAAGGACCAATTTGTGACAGAAGGTACTGTTTTAATTTTTTTTTAAAAGAAGTTATAGAGGGGCTTTTTTGGATATATTTAGGGAGTTTGTTCCAGAGTAATGAGGCATATACTGAGAAAGAGTGCGAAAAAAAATGTGTCCTACTCTTTGGTATGTCGAGCATTGACATGACGCAAGACCGCCTGGAACGTGAGGGGATAGGGAGAAGTTGGATACGGGATCGAAGGTAGGGAGGAGAATTTGGGTCGTTAAGAATATTGAAAAGGAAGGAAAGAATGCGCATATCACGGCGAAGTCGGATTGGGAGCCATTTAAGTTGAGCACGAAAGTTTGATACATGGTCATGCTTGCGCAAGCCAAAAATAAAGCGAATGGCTAGATTCTGGAGACGCTCTAGTTTGTTAAGTTGCTCCTCAGTCACATCCAAATAGCACACATCAGCCTAGTCAAGTATGGGGAGAAGAAGGGTTAGAGCAAGCATAATCTTGGTACTAAATGGGAAAAAGAATTGGAGACGCTTGAGAGAGTGGAAAGAGTTGATGCATTCGTTTGCTGACCTCGTTGACATGAGCTACCCAGGTCATGTTACAATCCATTATTAGGCCCAAGTTTTTATAAGGAGTATTATTTTTGAGTTGTGGCTAAAGTGACAGAAGAAAAACATGGAGAGTGGAGAAGTATCACCAAAACCATGTCTGGTCTATTGTGATCATGTTGTAGTATCTTAGGCTACTTATATTTTAGAAAAAGAATTAGGGTTCCGCGCAAAAAAAACCCATGAAATTGTAAACAAAATCTAATTTAAATAGAGAAGTATATATCTGTAAATATTATATATTTTTTTAATTGTTTAAATTATTTAACAATTTTTATCTGCTTAAAACGTTCATGGCTACGCCAGTGCAGAATAAAATTATAACGGGGCCAAAGTAGTGCCTTGAATATTTTAGGCGAGAGTTATTTGAGATGAAACAAATGTCAGCACATAGTGGTTTTTGACCGCCATAAAAATGGGGACGTGCTCAATATATATTTTTATGTGTAGGGTTATAGAGTATGTTACGTGACGAAATTTATGTGAAACGATTTTCATTATTCTTTATTTATTTTCTGATATATATATATATATATTAGGGTGTGCCAAAAAATGACGATATTTTTTTTTCTTCGCTCTCACCCCATAATATCTTAGAAAATGTCCCAACAAAGCTTCTGTTAAAAGCGGAGCTCAAAATTCCAATTCTAAGAGGTTCTCCATCGAACTTTAAGTTTTCCCATACAAATTGTATAGAAAATATGATTTTTAACACTTTTTTGTCCTGCAAACTATGACGAAAATATTTTTCAAAAAAAAATGAATGAATGGACCGTTTTTACTATTAAATTTTTTTAAAAAGTTCCATTGAGTCGAAATCTTCAATATTTTATTTGTTATATAGCTTTAAAGTTCAAATTTATGGTGTTTTGCATTTTTTAGCTAAACTGTAAGAGTTACAGAATAATGTTAAATGGCAAATTTATAGTACGTTTAAAATCCTATAAAAAAGTCCTTGGAAACTTTTTCATACCATCAATAACAACAAAGTTACAGGCTCACGAATATTTATTTTTTCTAATTTTTGCTCTTACGAACTGAAATACGATAATTTTACTATTGATATTTTATGTCCTTTATCAATATATTTTATAATATACTTGAATAAGTATAATATACTTTCAAATAAGTCTGTCACTATTAACTATTGATAATACAAAATACATGATCTATTCAATTTTGTACCATTTTTTTTGTTTAATTATCGATATATATATATATATAATTTATTTAATTTTGCTGTTATTATTATAATAATTACAATTTTAAAAATATTAATTAGTAATCTATATTTAATGTTGCCATTATTATATTTATAACCATAAAGCAAAATATAAAATATAGTATTAATTATTTAAGCCATATAATTGTTCTATGTGTAATTTAAAAAGTTGAAATTAATTAAGGATAATAATTTTAATTCAGTTTGCTATTATTTAAAAAACTATTTTTTAAATAATAGCAAACTAAATTAAAATTATTATTATAATATTCCATATTCAATTATAAAAGTAATAAAAATTTATAAAACTGTTTAAAGTTAAAAAATATTGTAAGGTAATTGGAGAAATTTTCATTTTGTTAATTGTGGGTAGGCTGTCTGTAACAACTATACCTTGGAGACATGTAACACCTCAGTCTCTCCCGTGACCATGAATGCTGTAAAGCATTCGAAACGTCGGGAACCAAAAATCAAAATAAATCCGCGAAATAACCCGAAAAGATAGTTTTATTTAAAACTAGCGGCTCACCCTCGCTTCGCTCGGGTTCGTCGCTAGGTACGTTTTAAATAGATATAAAAAGAAAAAATCTTTCTTTCTCACATTTTAATTATATGTTTTAATACTTACCTATTCCGGACTAAGAGAAATCCAAAAATTAAAATATCATAAAAATTGGAACGCGGTCGAACGGGATAAAAAGTATCCTATGTCCTTCTCCTGGCTCTAAACTACCTCCCTGCCAATTTTCAGCTAAATCGGTTCAGCCGTTCTTGAGTTATAAGCGAAGTAACTAACACGACTTTCTTTTATATATATATAGATGTCAAATATTCGCGTAAATCTAAGAAAGTATTTTAATAATTATTCTAAGTTTGAATTTTTAAAGTGAAGGTGTTAAAAGCGAAAAGTTAGAAGCTACAAAAAAGAAAGATATTTAGATCTCTTAGTCATTAAATGAAACGAATTTAAATATAAGTTTAAATGATCAAATCTTATCATTGGAATCAAATTAATGTAAATTAAATCAAATAAACCAGTTATGAAATACGGAAATACTTGATGACAGGATTATTTTTTAATAAATTTATTTTTGAATATAAATCCTCCTTCCATAGTATTCGAGGAACAGATAAAAAAAATAATTAATGTGACATTTTCACTTTAATTAAAGTCATGGCTTAAATATTTATTTTAAAAAATCGATATTATTAATAAAATTAAAATATAAAAACGAAATCTAATTATAGACGTACAACAAGATTGTTCACTGATTATCTACCCTATTTATAGACACCTACATATAATTAAATCAAGTTGATATTTACCTCTACTTAAAATATAAGTAAAAAATAATATTTAAAAAAAATACTATCGTAAACACACTTTTATGTTCAGTTGAAGTAAAATAAAAATATTGTTATTAAATAAAAAATGGTTTCAAAATCTTATATCAAAAATCGGGTGGTTAACCAACTTTATAATACGGTTCAAATATTTGCGGTTTGTCCAATCGATATGGAATTTGTAAAGCAGATAATATTTACTCAATATACTAATAACAGCTTATTGAATAATATTTAACACTTCTTTTAAATATTAACTAAACATAATTATAGAAAAATGTAACAAAATAACAACACACCGGTCAAGTAGGATTCTAATAAAAAATAGTACTAATCGATTTTATTATATACATGGCGGTCATTTTGAAATTCGCTGTCTTGATTTTTTATTATTATTTGTTATTATAGCGGCAATAGAATTATATACACTGTAAAAATTCAATTCTCTATACGGTCCGCGGGCTTTTTCTCATGAAATACAGCCCGCGGACAACAAAGAGTATTTCTCTCTATGAATAATAGGATTCCGTTGGCACCCTTCAGATACGCTCAAGAAACTCGACGATCAGGCTTGACTTAATGGGGCACAATGACAGATTTAAGTCACGATGGCGAATCTTACTTAGACAATTTATTTGCATTTGCCGAGGGATATCACATTGCACAAATAAGTAGCACAAACGCAGGTGTATTCTCTATTCTTTCACTCTCATAATTGTAGAAAAGACTCCGACACTTTCTAGAAAAGATCAAAGAACATCGTGCTATACTTGTTCTCCAATATTTTCCAACAAAAAGCTGTTACTCAGAATTTTTGCAATAACAACCCAATAATAGTAGTGGCAACAAAAGGTCTCGCATCACATCTCATTATTATGGGTTGTGAGTTCGGATTTCACACAGCGTCAAATATTTGCTTTAAACCTGTATATTTGATAGTACAGACAGTAATAGAGTAGGCAATAGCCCAAGCCAGGGTCATTAGTTGGTTTGTATTTTTTATTGAGCTAAAGATCTAAAAGCTCTATTTTGAGTATTTTCCATATAGCCGTCTAATTGACATTTAATATGCATGAATTAATCTAACAAAATAGGTTAAAAGGAAATGGTAGCGTCATATGTTACATTTTAATTGAGTTCTCAGCCCATATGAGCAATCTTC